CTAAAGTTTACTGCAACAGCCAAATTACTTGCTGGCTCCCCAGAAGAAATTTGGCTTGTTAATGTGGACAGCAACATATTTTAAAATTGTCCTTTTTGGACGGTGATTTCTTCCTGCATCATCTGAGCTCCTGGGCTTCCATGAAGAATTAAATTGTATTTATAGTGCTTTCCAGTTCAGGAATGGGGAGTGACCTTGGTTGTCACTGTGTTGTGCCTGAACATCATAGCTAACCTTAACATAATGATTTACTTAGTTGAACTAGAGCTCTTGGAATCTGAAGTGGCTTAGGCTCCAAAGGACTTTTCCAACTTGTGGAAATCTATAATTATCCTTCTTAAATTGTTACAGAGATGCTTTTTTCTGAGCAGTGGTTCTTCCAATGTAGGTTATCTAATAAAATTAATCATAGTTTAACACCAGCAGACCACACTACCATCAGCATCGGATAGCTCATTAGAAGCCAATTTGCATTGGTTAGAAGACTTTCTTGAGCCTTCAGAGTCACTGAAGGATTTTTCTGAATGTATGTTTATTTTTGAATTGTATAGTCTGGCCATTTATTAAGAAAATCACTAGTAGATTTAAACTTATCCCAAAAAGATCTTGTTTTCAAAACCCCAGCATTTTTTTATGCATGATCATCTGACCCTGGAAAAGGAACACAACAGTTACATCACCAGAAAAGCTCCAAATTAATATGACCTTAATTCCCACAATGAGAGTCTTTAAAGTTCTGACCACACCCATATACTTATATGTCTATTCTGTCGAGAACATAATTAAACTCATTTGAGATCTTGTGGTGGAGGATTATTTTCTCTCTGGGGAATCTTAACAGAATAAAACCAATAATTTGGCAGCAGTAAATGTTTCAGCGCTCTTCTGGTCTGCTACTGCAAGTCTCAGAATCCTTCCTGTGTGCAAAACTGTTCCAAAAAGATGACACGATGCACGTAAAACTTTTGTAAGCAAAATTTCATTTATTCAGCACCTTTCAATATAAATCACAAAGTTTTAACAAAAGATCTATCTTCATCAATCAACAAAGACACAGGACAATATTACATAAAAAAACAGCATAAAAAGTCTTAGTAGTCAGAGGAAGGAGATTTCAAAGTTTTGCAGACACAGAAGAGAATGACTCTTTTTCCTTTGGTTTTAAATCTTGTATGGAAGACTATCAGCAGGCTTTGATGACAGGATCTGAAGGCTCTAATGGAGGTGTAATGATGTAGTAGTCCAGTATTGTAGACCGGTGTCTGATGATGTAAAGCAATTTACATCATCAAAACAATTTACCCTGAAGTGCACTCAATAATCAACCAGGAGGCAATGAAGTTGCATTACTAATGGAGTCATGTGACAAAGTTTTTAAGATCTAGTCTGAAGCATAGCTGCCGCATTTTGTACGGACTACAGCCGGTCTTAGTTTAACAGCTGAAAAGTGCACCGCAATAATCCAGCCAAAACAAAAAAAAAAAACAAAAAAAAAAGGAATTACAATTTCCATCTCAAGTTGGAAAACAACTGGGCTAAATTTGGCAATGTTTCACCAATAGTAAAAACAGGATTGATCCAACAATTCTACATGATTCTCAAGTGTAAAACCAGGTTCAAATGTTATTCTCAGGTTTATTTTTGGTTTTTTTTTTAACAGAAGATTCATCTCAATAAGCAAGGGGCTGAAGAATCTGCTTTACCTTCATATCTGTGGAACACCAAATATGAAATGACAGGAAGGGTATGTGTAAGTCGATGATTTCTCTTAATGATACAATGCACTTCTGTGTTATAAGTGTTTTCATTCATTATTTTTCTCTTCATGATAAGGACAAATTCATTGCTAACTCTGTAGCCTGCTATCTGTTTAAGATAAAGTAGACAAAAGACAAATTACAAATTTGTCATCAACTCAACACATCTCTACAATAAGTCTATAACTTTTAATACATTTACAACAGGTGATTATGTTACAATTTGGTGGTAGAAGAAAGGCTCTCATCAAACTCCCAGATGATCAAATACAGATGTTTGCATTAACCTTTATTAATGTGGAGTTTGTCCTGGTGACTGGAAGGCCACATGTAGAATCTCTCTTTATTTTTGTTTAAACCAGCAAATGTAAAGAATGATGTGACATAAAAGCTTGTGTAATTCATCTGTCACTTATTAACTTGATAGAGCTGCGGTTGTAAGACTTTTCATAACAACCTCAGTAATTGCTGTTTTTCATGAATCACTATGATGGCAACCATTTTAGAACAGCAGTTCTTAAGGAATGTTGTCATGTGATGGGTTGTCATTAATGCAAAAAAGAGGAGTAAAAACACTTTTTCATTGAATTATTACATTTAATTGAAGGATGTAATTTAATCATGCTTTGCTTGTATTTGAACTTCCAAGTTACAGAGGTAAACAAAAGTTGCCATTTGTAGTGGCAAAGTTGGAGGATTTTCACCATTCCAGCGCCACTAAAGCCAAGTACCATCAACAGATCTCATACCACAGCTGCAGAAACATGGAGGCTGCTGCACAATCTCCATTTTATATGTTATTTAACTTGTGCAGAAAGATAAAAGTGGTCTGAAAAAGTTCAGTTTATCAATCTTTGGCAGGCATTGAGGGACTTTCAGGCTGAATATTTCACTAACTCAGCTGTGCTCTCAAATCCATTCATTTGTACTGGATGCTCTGTGCAACAAAGGTTTTGCGTTGCGTGAAACAAAGCTCAAGTGGCGCACAGCTCCCACTTTGCTGTGTAGGTGTGAGCAGATTAGTGGAGCTTGTATTGCACTCTTTCCAAAGCTGGAATTTGCTCAAATTTAACCGTGGTGTGTGGCCGACTGTGTGGTTGGTGGATACTTGTGCAGCCAATGGAGACGAGTATCTAACTATCTCATATCTCACAACAAAATGTTCATTTTTATTGATGGTTTTAGCACAATAAAAATGCATTTGCAGATAAAATATGGCCATCTTCTACTTCTAATTATGAAATTTCCACTTTTTAAAACTGTACTCTGCTGCGGTTTAATAGAGAGTGGCACCATCAGGGGTATTTTCAGTTTAGCAAAAACACCCAAGAGAAGATCAGCGAATGCTGCATTCAGGAAAGTCTTTATCAGATTTTCAGTCTGAAAGCCACTTTATCAGGAAAGTAAATGAATTTGTAGGAATAGACGAGCCACCGTATGTCCTACTACATATCGTAAACAAACCCAGTAAGTGCTTATCTTGCCTCAAGGAGCATCATTCAACTTTAGAAATGTAAAAATGAAGAATATTCTTTCTGAAATTCCATTATTTTAGATTATTTTATATCTTTATGACAAGAGACTCAGATTTAACCAAATCTTTATGGCAGATTCTGTGCCCATAGAAACTATGGAAAGCTTCCTTCCTTGCAAAATAAACATTTTTGTTGCATGTTGAATGCAACCATATTGAATGCCACTCAAGTTGAATGTACCAGTGGTGCAGTTGGTCAAGTTAAAAATGTGTTTTGACTTGACAACTGTCTTTACTTTCTTACTTGAACTAGAATTTTGTTTGTCCTCTTTGGGCTGGTTGCAGATTAGCATGGGGTTCCTGCCCTCTTAATATTTAACTACAAATATTGCAACTATAAAGACACAACCACACCCACAGGGTTAATACACAAATTTATTTTTGCACTTTCTGACCTAAACATTCACATAAAGTACATTTACTTTTGCCACATTGACATTCTGATAAAATTTAACTCACGAAATTTGAGTAAAATATGAACTCAAGTCACTGGAACTGTACATTACATTTTGAGATGTTCATTCATTAGAAATTGGAAAATTTTCAACTTTTCTTCTTTTTTTCTATTTGAATCAAATTCCATGTTTTCCAGTCTTATTACTGCAAATAAACTATAAATCTGACTGGTCAAGCTCCAACCAAATAAGCAGAGCATTAATCACAGAGTTTTGGCCTTTGAGGTTTAGTGTCTTGCAATTTTTGGATGTGTCCCTTGTCCAGCACATTATAATCAAATGACTGAATGATTTCCTCATATGCACAAATTCTACAGAGTCTCGTTAATTACTCAATATGTAATTGATGCAGAGGTGCATCTATTTGTACCAGGTCTTTGTGTATTTTGAAGGGTGCTTATGAAAAGTGTCATTATTATCATTATTATTGTTAATGAAAACCAGGTATATTTTTTCTTCCACTTTGCAGACTTTATGTTGCTGCATATGAACATGATGGGATGTTTATATGTTAACTTGTCTAGAAAAATAGAAGTGGTCTGACAAAGTTCTGTTTATCAGTCTTTGGCAGGCTGAATATTTCACCAACTCTGCTGTGCTCTCAAATCCATTCATTTGTACTGCATGCTCTGTTCAACAAAGGTTTTGCGTCGCATGAAACGCAACGTAAAACCTTTGTGGGATGTTCAATAGAATTGAACATGATGCAGCATAATGTTCTGTGAGGTTGGAGGTAGTAAAAATGCTGAAAAAAAAATCTTCAAGTGTTAGGAATACTTTTGAAAACACACCAAACCTGACTTGCATGAGTGTATGGTGTTAAGGTCAGTTAAGGTCTGTGCTTTGATTCTTCTTTTTTAAGAGATGACCTCTGTGACCTGGGTCGCACAAAGAGGTCACGTGACATTGAATGATCTTGAAATTTCCCTCGTGATATCCCTCGGCCCATTTGATCATAAATGCGTCCATCAAGTAAGAGATATCTGGTCACGAGTTTCTACTGCATCAGTGTGGCTGTCTCGACAATTCCTAGCGGCAGGTAGAGGGCTGCATCCTCTATGCAGCCTCTGGACGCATAGAAACAGTGCAGCTGAAACTTTCTAGTAACTCGTGTTGCTCGGAGCACTTGGGGACAAGCTGTACCCAATGAATGAGCCACTCCTCTGACGATGCTGCCGAGCGCTGCCCGGCTCGACACGCCCCCAGCATGGATACAGCAAGCTGGAGCAGGCGCTAGGGAGACGCGCTCACTGTGCTGGAGACAGTCTAAAGCCGCAATGGGAGTTAACGCATCCAAGTTTCAAGAGTTCCTGCTACCGGTGTCGCTGCACTAAACAAAGACTCCGATTTCTGCTTTCTCCCTCCCTTTCTTTCTCTCTCTCTCTCTCGCTTTCTCTCTCCCCCTCTCTTTCTGTGTGTGAGAGAGATCTTCTCTGCGCTTTTTTTTTTGTTTGGTGCGAGGCGTTTCTCGCACAGGATGTTGATGATTTTGGAAAGCCGGGTAAGATCATAAAGTCAGTTCTCTCTGATGAGAACGACCTCCACCTCACCGCCACTACACAAAGGGAAGCACGGTGCAAGTGTTTTTATTTTTTATTTTTAAACAACCTCCTTCTCGCGGATTTATTTCATATTTTTTTATTTTTTTTGCCCGAATGTCATTAAGAAGCAGAGGAGGCTGTTTCAAAGACAGAATGGATCACTTTGCAGCAGAGTGCCTTGTTTCAATGTCCAGCCGTGCAGTTGTTCACCCCCCTAAGGGCAACAGGGAGATTAAACCGGAGATCCCAACCTCTTCCAGGACAGGGGAAGAAATAAAGGAGCCCCTGGTGAAGGAGAACTCCTCGATTTTCGTGGTGGCGAGGATCCTGGCGGATTTTAACCAGCAGACACCCAACGGCGTTGCCGAGCAGGCAAAGATAAAGGAGGAGAGCACGCCGAACCTGAGAGAGGATGGAAACTCTGCCACACCTACCGCCACCTCCGATCCTGCGCTCAGACAAAGAGGCAAGAGATCGAGAGGTCGGACAGAGCAGGAGCCACCTCAGAAAAAGCACAAATGCAACTATTCTGGCTGTGAAAAAGTTTATGGCAAATCCTCCCACCTCAAAGCTCATCTAAGGACACACACAGGTCAGTTCGATCGGATGCAGGTGTTGAATGCTGCTTTATTGTGTTCCCGTTTCACACGAGAGTGAAAGAAAACTGAGAATACTGTCTGATCTAAATAAGGTGTACATTAAAACTGCTTTACTATTGGCGAAATTCAAGAATCCACCCAAAATAAATACAACCATCGCGCTCGTGTTGCATAGCTTCATAATGATACATGCATCGCTCTGAGTTACATAAACTTTATAATGTCCTTTTAATTTCTGGGAAGGGAGGCTTGAAAACAGTGCCACTCCCACTCAAGTCTTTAAGCTTTGTCCTCCCCCGCCCCTCCTCTTCCTCCCCACTGAACACACGCACGCACATCCACCACCGCATTGGACAGTATGTTCAAACTGAAACTGCGGTGTACACGTAGAGAACTACATAAGTTACGTTTCCTGAAGAAGATTGCTCCTTTTGAAAAAAAAGAAAGAAAATGATAAAAAATAAATGGTTTGCTTCAAAGCAGCATGAGTTTCTAAAAAAAAAAAAACAAAAAACAAAACATGTAGCCATTGATGCGCAGAATCAGTCAAGTGTGCATGGGCATGCAGGAAGTTTGCAGAATCAGTCCAAAAAGTCCAATAAATCAACAGTGTGTCGCATGTGACCTTCCCACACACACACACACACACACAAAAATGACCGTACCTCCAGCTTTTAGCGCTTTGCATTCCACAGGACAGGACACTGAAGAAGGGAGGGGAGATACAAATCGACTGAAATTGGGGGTTGATAAGAGCTGTGCAGTCAGTCGCCTGTCTGCCCACAGCCCTTTGTTATGATGTGCCACACCCCCGCTAGACAGACTTGCCAGCTGATCTGGCCAGCAACAGACTCAGCTAGCTGAGCCTCGACTGAGGAGTCTCACTGCCGAATCCTGGTGATGGGAGCGCTGCAACTCACACACCTCATCTTTTCGCTCCTCTTCTGCACACGCATGCACATGCATCATCTTGACAGGGCTGAGAAGAAAACTGAGCTCTCTGGATCACAGGATAAGCACCTTGCATGAGCGTGACCCACATTTGAGTCACTTGCTGCAGAAACGTGCAAGCATGAAAAAGCATCTCCAACATATGTAGGACACCCTCATCTTCAAGGCATTTTTTTATCCATAATAACAAAACAACAGTTGGGTGTTTTGTTACACACCTTAGTCTGAGTCCTAATTTTAACAATTTCTTTCCTACAGCGGTTAGCTTGTGTAGTGGTTACGAGAAATGGGACACTCCTTCAAGTAGCTGATTCATCATCAGTTCCTACTGATTTCTGCCAGACTGAATAAAGCAAGCAGTCTAAATAGCCACTCACATGTCATACTTTTTAAATATTTATTCAGGAAGAATAAGAAGTAGGCTTTGGGTCAATTTGCCCCTGTCAAAACCCATTGTATTCTTCCTCATAGTTTAGTGTATTCATAAATCATGGAAATAAGTAATTATAAAAATGTGCAAATCTCACATATAATTTAATTCAGTTGTTTGTTAGAAGAAATTTGGATTACACTCCACTTATATTGGATTTTGGTTCTAATCTTTAGACAATAAAATGTAACAGAGAACAAATTGGCTAACCTCCAATTGATTATATGTTATATATTTGTGTTTATAAAACATATTATCACATTAGTGTACAGGTGACTAATAGAAGAACATGAAAAATGACTTTGAATCGTTTCTAACGTGGGCAGTAAATGTCCCAAGGTTCATCGGCGAGACTTTGAACACAGACACCTGAAAAAAAATACCAACCATTTCTTACATAGTTGTTACAAAACAGCTAATTTCAGTACAATAGTCTTCAAAGTTGAGAGGTATTCCTTCCTATACTGATAAAGTTTGGAGGGATATGTATGTATAATTAAAATGCACAAACACTTTTTCACACTGTTAATTATTGCATATGCAGATTAGCAATAATTAACAATGAAACCACATGTAATACAATGACATCACAATGGTCATTGTGCCATGAAAAATATGTTAACCGGGAGTCCATTTTCAGAGGATAGAAAGCCCTCCTCCTGCTTTACAGAAAGCTTTGGAATGCCACACCCCTAAAAACAACTCTATTGGAAAAAAATGGAATTCAGCCTTTGTCTTTCCTTCGTCTCAAACTCATCTCCCCGTCTGATTTGTGTCACTTTATTGGTAGGTTTATCAGCGTGGAGATATAATATTCAGTGAAAACAAAAAGAACAGACCAGCCTTAAACACATTGGGAGACCAAATGCTTGAGGATTCTCTCTGTGGCTGGTACAGAGTCATTTACTATTGATAGGAGCGAACTTTTAGTCTTAATCCAGTGGAGCCGACTGCCGGCTGTTAAATCACCATTTGTTAAGAAAACGCTAAAGGAGAGAAACGTGGCTTATAATTACAACAACGAAGATTGTGTCTATTGTAATTACTGTTTTGTTTTGTTTTAGTGAAGCTTTACCACAGCTCATTATTCGTTTTGCCTTTCAAGCCTTTTCTTTTGTCTTGTTGCTCAGCTTGTGTCCTTTAATTTGTGCTAATAAGGATGGTTTGTTTTGATTTAATTGGTAAGTTCCAGAAACTCCTAATTTTGCTGCCTTTTCTCAGAGAAAGCTCCAGCCTTGCTTCCAGCAGTCAGTTCCCCCCTCCATCAGCCCAGACCATGTGAGTTTAGTGCGGTTTTATTGCTCCGTGCTAGCCCTGCCCTCGTCTCCGTGCCTAATAAGCGTTTCCTTTCGCCTGCCTCTCTGTTTGGATATGCTCCGTCGTCTGGCTTGCTCCACTGGGCAGTGTCCTATAAATTCTGATAATAATGACCCTCTCTTCCCGTTTTACTGGGCAGGTCCAAAATGTGGGTCATCTGAGTATAGCAGGGCTGCCTCAACCAATCTTAGCATGTTTTCATGGAGTCAGACTCTGGCAGCCTGCTTCCTTTCAGCCCATACTAGCAGAATCACGAGAGAACGGATCCCAGCCTAGTCAGGTTCAGCCAAGTGCTGATTTCTAATTGAAGGAGAAACACTATAGACAACAAACAAAGAGCCAGGGACAAGATGTTCCCTCTGGCTTCTGACACTCAGGTTTGCCAGGTTTATTTTTTATTTTTTTCTTGTACAGGCCTTTAAAAAGAGCAGTCTGTTTTTATGTTTGTTTGTTTTTCTCTCTCTCTCTCTCTTTTTTATAAAATGTTCATAACAAATAAAAAAAAAAAAAAAACGTGGTCTAGTACATTTAAATTTTATAATGTTATTTGAAAATTCCTGAAACAACATGTAATTATCACTTCTAGTTTGTTTAAATATGTTGCAAACTGTTAATGGGTTTGTAAAAGGCCAGTTCCTCAAAACATGAACAAAACCAAAGCATTTATTTTTTGGTTCTAATTTGGTTTAGCTCCTTACGTTCTTTGTATTAAATATTCTAATTCTTCTCTTTCTTAAGATGTAAATACACATTTCTTCTTTGGTCTGTGATTTGAAATCTTGGAACTTTAAGTTTGTATGTATAAACAGTTACCGTTTGAGGGGACCCCCTCATTGGAGATAAATAGGTTTCATTTTACGTTTCCTTTTGTTCACACTGGGTTCAACAGGGACATCCTGAGTGTAGCACACACAGGAGCACACACTGAATTTAAATCACTCATTATACTGCATTGAGTTTGATGCTTAGGAATCCAGAGCAGTTTAGGGGTCCAAGGTTACCAGACGGCTTTTGTTTGGTATCCTTATGTTAGAGGTGGAGCCATTTTATTCACTGCAAGCATCCTGTAAAACATAAAAAAAGCAAAAAAAAATGTGGTGAGTTCAGACTGATTTACAAAAAGAATGAGTAGTGGTCTATATTTTTTCAAGATTCATTTAAATTTTCTCTTGTTTTAATGTATTATACCCACCCAGTGGTGTGTTATGATTTTAAGTGAAGTCTCATTAAACATCCCGTCATCATGTTATGCACACTGCCATCTCCAGAAAACTGATGGCCCCTCGCTCTTCTTCCAACCAAGCCCCCCACAGTCAGATCTTACAAAAGCCCATCTTTTCAGGGTACAATACACATGTGAAACCTGCTGGTCACACAGAAGGGGATGGGGCCAATATTTCTTAACGACAAAGAGTCTAATGACATATTTTACAGTTGGGTTAATGTTTTTTTCTTAACCTCTTTTGTGTTCTGCTTTGGTACCGCTAATGGTTGTAAAATCCTTTACTGTCCTAAACAATAAGTGGTACCACCTGGAAGCACAGCCACAGCCTGGTTCTTCAAATGTGCTACCTATTTTTAGTCAAATAACTCTGGGTAATGACATTTTTACATGGGAAATTATCCCAAATTCCACATGGAAAAAGCAGCAGGAGTCCCTCATTATATATGCTTCATCCCTGCCAGTGGTTTTATATTTGGCTGAACTGTAAGACAGAGTGCTCAGTGTTCCTGTGTGGTTGGTGGCAGTGATGAGGTATCAGGGTGGAGATTGGGTTTTTCTGAATCCATTCTTGGCATGCTAATGGGTAAAAATAATAAATAAATACTGAGGGGCTGAAGAGTTCAGTCTGCCTAACTGACCAGCAGCAGGACTTCCACCAAATAATGCTGTCATACAACACATTATGAAATCTTTGAATCACAGTCAGATATTTAGATAATGATGTCAGATTTTGCTGCTGCTACATTAATGACATAGCTAGAATTTTTATATAGGGCCTATTCATGTAGAAAATGGCTCTGGACAAGAAGCATAACCTATAAGGGCCAAGATAAGTTTCATAATTTCAAATGGTTTTTTTTAATACCCCTTAGGCCAACTATGATCTAAGTATGGTTTCCCTCAGATTTTGTCTTTATGGTCAGTATTGCCTTTAGCCAGACCATATGGATCAGATATACAAAGCGTATTGTGAGCCCAGGCCCACATCATCATGTATGTGTATTGGAACCAGGTATAGGACCCCACACAGTACAGAGAGGAACATCCGTTTATGCAGCAACATAATATTA